AAAAAAAAAAAAAAAAAGTTTCCCAGGCCAACTTTGAACTCACAAACTTCCTGCCTCAGCCTCCCAAGATTAAGATTACAGTCTTTAAGATTACAGTCTTGATCATTTTTAAAAATCCAAAATGTTTGTTTATCTAAAAAGAGGCCAAAGAGAGTATGAACTTACTTGTTGTCTTGGATGGCAAAAATAAAATCACCACAAGAAGAAATCTGCACATTTGCAATAGACTTTTGCTCTTCCTTGCCATCTACAATGAAGTGAAGTTGAATCTTCTGGGGGAAAAGAGTGCAGTTTGTTTTGCACTTTGATCTACAATGAGTTTATGAACTTTCTTCCTGTCTATTTGGTATTTAAAATAAAGTTCCAGATGAGTCATCCTGGCTATAATGGTACTACTTCTAGTGTTTAATTAAACAACTCTGATCTGAGTAAGATCAAAGTACTTCTAGTATTAAGAACTCTCTTAAGGCAACAAAAAGAAAACCACAAGGAAATGTAGTAGGGTATAAGATACAGGGCAGCCTGGGGAATATAAACCAGTCTTCACTAGAAAAATAGAATGTCATTTTATCAGGAAAAGAAATGAAACTGACTTCATTATCAGGTAGTCTTTACTAAACAAAGTAATTCTTATTTGTTTGTTTTTTCCGGTACCGGGGATTGAACTCAGAACCTTGTGCTTGCAAGGCAGGCATGGTGTCACTGAACTATATCCCTGGCTCAGTAATTCTTGTTTTAAAAGGCTCTCTCTAGTCATTTTTGGAAAGTTGTTCTCCGATAATAGAGAATTCAAATCTTATAGATTCAAATGTGTACCCAGAAAGGACTCAATGGAAACATGGCCTCTAGTTTTAAACCTTGTTAATATCTTTGTGACTGCTCCTTAATATTCCTTTCCCTTGGCACGGTATGAACTAAAAATAATAAATAACCAAGGCCTCCTTTCTCTCTTTTTTTGTGTGCTTTTGGTTCTATATACCTCTCCCTATGATATCAACCTGGAAAAAAATATGTATCCTTTACTTCCTTGTAAGAATACTACTATATCAGAGATTTAGCTTAGCACTTGGAAGGTCCTGGGTTCACTCCCCAGGACTGCAAAAAGAAAAGAAAAGAGTACTTCTATAAACATAGTAGAAACACATATTATGTAATGGCACCATGACATATGTTCTTTCAGTCACAGTTAAGCCCTTAAACCACCCTGTTAAGGTAGTTTCTAAAGTTTAGAGGAATGATGCAATTAGCCCATGATCCTAAAAATAATAAATGTCAGAGTGAATATTCAAACCCAGGACTCCCAAGGTGAGGCTCTTATCCACCCTCTTGTCTAAATTAATATTTTCTTCCTTTATAAGATGCCATTTATCCTTTCCAGTCCCTGGCTACTCCACTGACCTTAGCAAGTTGAAATATTATCCCCTTAACCTGGGTATTAACTGTCAAGACCCAGAGTATACCTAGAACTACTCTGGGTCTCCTCTGCCCCTCCCCTGTTCCAGGCCTGTCCAGGCAGGAGCAAATTTCAGTCCTGGCAGGCTCACCCTCTCTGGCTGGCAAGTCTGCATCAATCTTTTAAGAAAATTCCATTAGTATTTATATTGATTTTTTTGTAATTTTAAATTTTTGTCCAAGATATTTCTATCACACTGTTATAACAGTGATTATTTCAGAATTTGGTCATTAACAGAGTTATCTCAAGCACTCTTCATTACAGTTACTCAACAAAAACTAGGATATGGACTTCTTACCCCACAGACGTTCCCTTGTAAAAGAAGAGAATTGATGTCTTCTCTTTTCTCCCTCTCAACCAAGACATCAACTTTTCATAATGAATTTCTCTCGCTTGACTCTCTACCTTCTCTACAAGATAGGCTTATCACTTACCTCCTGAGATCTGAAAAGCTGACTTCCTTGGCCCTGTGTTCCTCCCTCTGGGACCCTGAATGCTGTCCTTGTAACTATCCTTTATAATACTTGAATTTGAACACTTTATGACAGTACAGTTAAATAAATAAGATGAATTGGGTTCAAAGTCTATTTCTCTTTATGGATTCTTAGAGAAGACAGTAATTGGGAAAGACATCTTCTTAAGATCTAAGTTTTCCTGTGTACCTAGGTTACTAGGTGGGGCTAGATATTACTAACAAGGATGTAATGTTCCAAGGAAATCTGAACTTATGCAAAAGTATGTAGTACATCTTGCTGAATATAGTCATACTCAAGTGAGATGATAGCTTGGGGATTGTGATGAGACATGTCTAAGGAGAGGTTTGACTTTCTTGACACTCAAAACATTGGAAGTCTCCACACAACTTAAAAAATGCTGGGGAAGAGAACCCAGTATGTAAGCTGTGCCAAGCCAGGCAGGGTAGGGGATCGTTTTAGTTCCTTCAGGCTCTCATCTAATTGGGGAATCCTTTCATTATACTCTGAAGAATTAGCAATTGGTAATGACTTGTTTTATTGATAAAAACTATATGTTTATGGTATTGTTACCAATATAAAATTTTATCTGCCAAGTACTATTGTTCCCATGTATATGAAAATAGAAGAATATTTATGATTGTCCACACACTTTAACACATTGGTTAAACACACTAAAGATCTGTCTCTTACTAGCTACGTGACTTTGAAAAATTGCTTAACTGTTATTGAAACTCAGGTTCTTGATCAATGCAATAGGAATAATGATAGTGCCCTCCCTACAGAATCACTAGGAGGAGTAAATGAAGTGAAGCATGTAATGCTGCTGCACAGTAAGCCCTTATTAAGCAATAATTATTTACTATTGTTATTATTAAAATAGGCTGGGCTGGGCATAATGAACAAGCACAGCCTCACTATGACATTGTTCAAGTGAGGATCATCATTAAGAGCCACTCCTGTTGGCTGAGTACAAGCTCCCCCAGGCAGGTTTTGAGTTTGTGTCTCTGTGGATACAAAAGGAGCATGTTTTAATATTATCATTTAAAGTGAAATAAATCAGACACACATGTTTAAATACCACATTGTTTCTCTGGTATGAAAAACTAAAAGTGGAAATAAGGATTGAAATGTATAATCGATGTTGGGAAATGGTAAGAAAGTATTCAAATGGGAAGGGGAACAAAGGAGGAGGGCAGAAGAAAGGAAGGGTAAGAAAAAAATGAAAATAGAGAAAAAAATGGAAACAAAGATTTTGTACATAGGGAGGGGAGGGGACTTGGGGAGACTGGGATAAAAAAATTTTTTTAAATAAAAATGAATTTAGCACTGGTCTGATGTCTTGGTTCTGGGTACTTCCAATGCAAACCCTCAGACAAAGCTTTGGGTGCAAACAGTTTATTTAAAAGCAATGTCCATACCACCTCCCCCAGTGCTGAGGAGGTGAGCAGCATGGGTGCCAGCAGCACACATCCCCCCTCCATTGAAATGAGAAGACACATAAACAAGTCTCAAAACCAGACTTCCAGATCACCTAAAGTAACCCCAAAGGGTAACAAGATGGAACAATCTGATACTCAGCCACCTGGACTCCCTGAACTGGCAACAAAAGAGGATCTGGAAAAAATGAAATCAGAAATAATTTCTCAGATAATGGCAGAGATTGTGCCTATAGTGCATGATATGTTAATAAATCTAGAGAGGACACAGATAAAAAAATAGAGGAGCTGAGGAACGTGATGGAATCCCAATATAGGAAACAAATGGAATCCATAAAACAGATGCAAACAGATTTCCAGGAGATTAAAAGCTCCATTGAAAGTTTACACAGCAGAATGAGCCAATGTGAGGACAGAATTTCAGATATAGAAGATAAGATTGCAATTAGTGACCAG